AATACATGAATTGTAGGCACTTAATACTTGCACCATATTATTTATTATTTACTGCTACAAATTATTATTATTGTCATTATTATGAAAACAATTATTTTAGACTGTTATATGTAACAATGATGAGGTTAGGTTGGGCAATTGTAAATTGCGCCCGTATTAAGTAGGTAGTAAAAATACTACAGTAAATTGCGCCCGAGATTTTTCGGGGTCTAAAATGGGTATAGTAAATTGCGCTCATAGTATCTACTATCTAAGTGACCTTGAATTCATCGTTACCTATTATGTGTATTTTAAAAATACTGTTGTTCATTTATTGGTGGATAAGCCGAACGTTTATCGCTATAATCGATATGTATCGATATCTATACTAGCGATATCAATGCCTTGACGTATATACAACGACTACGTATTGGTAATATTTTAGTAAGCCGTTTGCACGCAACAGTTAAATATTTTATAAATACTTGTATTATAGATATTATACATACTGAAAGCCAGAAAAAATATAACGTTATAATATACCAAAATTTTAAATTTTCAAAATTAAAACGTAAGTTGTCTTCGGGTGAAGCAAAGTAGCGATGTGCTGTAAAAACGTGTAAAGCATTTTTGAAAACGATAGAAAAAAATAACATGCAATTAAAAAATTAATTTTCTTATTTTTATTAAATAATTTATTCACCTCAAGTAAAGTAAAAAAAACATTTTTGGAGGACAATGATAATCGCCTCCTCGTGGTGTCTTCTGGGTAATGCTAAATGACTATTAAAAAATAATATTTCTATTGGGCGTAATTTACTATATAGAAATTTGTACCTAAAAAATACAGGGCGCAATTTACAATTGTTTCCCTTCGTTGGGTGCAATTTTCGTTTGCCCATTAGGTTAATACATTGTAACCAGTGGTGTATTTACGGTGGGTGGGGGTGGGGTGGGGTCCAGGGGTACTGGCCCCCCAGAGCCTCTCCAAAAAATAAAAAATAAACTAAAATTCTTACATATTTGCAGAATTGGCTATGTCAAACATTCTCAGGGAAGTTGAAATTACTGTTGATGAAGTATTAGAGGAGTTGGTCAAAAAATCGAGATAACTGGAATTTATTTTATAACAATACTTTATAATATATAATGCTAAATACAATATATATATATAATATTACCTAAGACTATACGATTATTACATTGTATATTTAGTTCAACTTCCTCCAAAAACTGCATAAGGATGTAACTATTACAATATAATATATAGTTTATATTAATTATGTATAAACTGTGGACTCCCCCAGAAAACATTGAAAATACGCCACTGATTGTGGCCTATTTGTATGAATTTCGTATAGTAAAAACGAATTTTTAAGTGAAAAAAATTGTATTTATTTTTAACAAAATTCAAGTTTAACGGTTTTTTTTTTCAAATAGCTGTCAAGTTCATTAAAAAGTAAGTTTTTTTACTGTATCATACTTAATTAACACATTTTAATATTGTAATCAAATAGTTATAATATTTGTATCTGTTTTGACTTATCAATATTAAATATATTAAAATGATTAATTTAATCGTTTTCTTTGAATAATGTTCAAAGGATTTGAAACTAGAAAGGCGGAAAATAAAGCAGATTATAATATACACGGCGTATGTATATATCTTGATGGTCATATTATAAATATTTCCTGTATGAAAACAAGTAACATAAATAAAACATACTAATATCATTAATATTTATAGGATTTTAAAATAATAAAATATTCTTAATTCCACAAAATTGTTGGACAAAATTTCAAAGCCTAATTAAAATGTCTATAAATTCAAAATAATGATACCTATAACAGATTCTATTTTCGAGTGATAAACATAGAGTGGAAGAATATGCTTAGAAATACCATTTTGATCAGAAATATATAATTTTAAAATAAAATTAGTAGTCTTTATTTTTTAAAACCTAAAAATGTGATAAAAGTTCATTTATAAGCTATTTTATACCGGTTTAGTATTCAAAAATTGCAAAAATTATTGTAATTAAAATAATGATATTTTTTTTAACTACATTCAATAAAATTCACAAATTATTTGTAATTTTAGAGAACCATTATATTTTTTCTTTAAGTAATAATTATTCCAAAAAACCAAGTGGATTAGAGGATCTAACAGTTAAATTTTAGATTGTAACCAGCCTTGATTAGATATCTTATTTCAATCATCTACGTTGCTTTTGTTTTATTTTTTTTAACAGAAATCTAAAAAAATGTACATTACTTTTCGCACCAAACCGATATTATAAATATGTATAAGTGTGACATCAAAAGTGCGTAATTTCGTGCAAAATATGCAATAATTATAATAATAGTTAGTAATACACAAAGTTGATGGGCGATGTTTTATAAAATGTAGTATAAACTATATCAATATAATTGGAAAAAAAGTACTTATGCCAGGACAAAGAATATAATTTATTTTAATTTATATGATACCTACTTTATATTCTAATAGAATAGAAAAATTAATGCTTACAATTATCCAAATTCATAATCCAGATCACAAATCATAATAATATTAATAATATAATGCATTTTATCGTCAGAATTATAATATAAATGTAATACAAAAATATCATTAGTGGTACATTTTACTTTTATTGTACAGTTAAATCCTTACAAACTCAACTGTTTTTCATGTTTCGAAGTAATATTTTTTTATATTTTCTAAGAAAGTTGATTTTCGATTAAAGCCAGTGGTGTAGCTAAGATAATGTTCAAGGAATTTATTTTGGAGATTCCCATTTTGTCTCTCCATTTTCTTTCAATTATACAGTAGGTATACATCGTATACTTTGTCATACGAAAATCTATTATTCTGGTAAGTAATGAACTATAGTTTGATTTTTCATATGTTACGTACCTTATTTCAAATGTATTTAAGTAATATTTGTATGTATTGTTGTAAACTCTAATTTTATTATATAGGGGTCTAAAATCAATATATTAATATATATATATATCATATATAAATATTATATCACATTTTTTTAAAATAAAAAATAACGCTAAATAAGTTGGATTTTGGTTATTTTCTACTTCGTAGAATTTAGTTTTTCACAATTACCATTTATAAAAATTATGTAAAAAATGTATAAGAATTCTTCAATTGAGAACGGCTGGACCGATTTGGCTCAAATTTTTTTTGCTTGACTAATGCCTTTTATTAGACGATTAAATCTCGAATGACATACATGTCGTGCAATAATTAGTCATAATATCCATGATAATCTAACACAAGAGGAACGTGATGAAGTAAATTAATGGAGACGTGCACTGTTTCGCGCTACACAATCATCACCTCAAATTCGAAAAAATGTTATTAGAAGAACATCATTGCTGCTACATTGTTGGAAAACGGTTGAACTGCACATTCCGCTTTGAAGTTACCGATGAATCTTCTCACGGTTGACAAGCCAACATGCACAATGACCAAAAATTCGGCGTCAATGAAATTGATACGAGAATGCAAAATCATAATTTGGGATGAATGTACGATGGTGCATAAACGAGTTTTGGAGGCATTTGGCCGAATGATGAAGGATTTACGAGATGGTTCGAGACGATTTGGTGGAGTAATGATATTGCTATTCAGAGATTTTCGTTTAATGCTTTCCGTCATCCCGAAATCTACTGCTGCCGATGAACTTTATGCATGTTCGAAATCGTCATCTTTGTGACGGCATGTCAAGAAGTTGAAATAAAAAAAGAAACATAAGAGTCGCATTGCAGAACAGCCAATCGGCTGCTGAATTCTCGAGACAACTATTGGCGCTTGGCAATGGACAAATTCCTGCTAATGTTTCGACTGGATTGAATCGTTCGCGTCAAATTTTTGCGAGTTCACATCGTCGAAGGAGGAATTCATCACCAAAGTATTCCCTGGCGTTGCAGACATTTACATAAATCTCGATTGGATTAGTGAACGGGCAATATTAGCTACGAAGAATAAGGATACCGATAGCTTAAATTTCATTATTCAAAGTCAAACCTCTGGAGTACTGCATTTATACAAATTCGTTGACAGCGTGACCGACGAAAATGAAATGACCAACTTAACTATACCTAACCATAGTTTTTTGTTATATGTTTGTTTCCTTTTTTTTCCTTCAGCAGTAAGTGCTATCGTAATCACCATTTATTTTTTTTTGCTGCAGTAATCTTTAGATTACCAACTAGGATTCCGATTCGATCCGAAATAGTGTGCGAACTTGTTCCCGGACTGATCTGTTCCGTTTCGCCGTAGTGCGCGACAATTCTAAAACGTCAGCACTTACCGCTGTGCCCTAGGCACGGCCGACGACGTGTTTCCAACACTGATCAACGTCCAGCAAACACGTGTAATCAGAGAACGCCGAGAACGATGAATCCGGGACTTTCGTGTCGAAAAATATCGAAATAAATCGCATACTCAGTTACAACTCGCACGTTTTCGAGGTACGTGATACCCTAATACACATACGCGATTTGCGACACGCGCAAATATCTTTTTAACGCATTGACAAGTGTGAAACGTAAACGATAACCGAATCGGACATTACCACAGGTCGAGTAGGCATATTGTTCGTAACCGTTGAGGTAGGTCCGTCGGGCGCAAGCGCGCGCTGACCGCATGGTCGCGTGTCACGTGCCGGCGAGAACCCGTCCATCGTCCGTCCGTGCGTGTTCGTCTGTCGGTTTTCACGTACACCGCGGCTATCGATTGTGCGCGTTGTGCGCGGCGGCGGCGGCCGATCGGATTCTCACCCTGTCCGCGCACGCACGGTACCGAGCGCCGTCCACCGTCCCTCGTGCACCGCGATCCGCGCACGCGTCGACGCGCCAACATTGGTGGCCACACCGCACACACGCACACCGACGGCGAGAACGCAGACGCACATACGGTCGCACACACGCGCGCGCGCGTGCACGCACACACACACACGTGCGGTTCGCTGACTCTCGCACGCACGCAAACACACACACAACGTCAGCGGTAAGTTCGTCCGTGTCTCTGTCGTGATTATTATTCTTCGCTGTCGCGCGCGCGCGCATAATACACACACACACACACGCGCGCGCACACACTGACGATTGCGGCGCGCGCACGCACCGACGGACGGAGACGCGTTACCACAGGCGGCGGCGACAGAATCAACGACAGCAGCAGCGAGAGCGGCAGCAACAGCAACAGCAGCTCGCCGCCCGCGTTCACCACCGCGACGACGACGAACGCCGTCGCCGCCGCCGCCACCACTTCCGACGTCCGACGTCCCTACCGTCACCGCCGCCGTTACCACAGCGATCACACCGCCACCGTTGCTCCACTGTCACGTTATTGTCTCGCTGTGAACAACGTCGCGTCGCATTGTCGTCCGTTTCCTCTGCGCTGCACGTCGATCGCTTATCGCCCGCGATCACCGGCCACCAACAGCGTCCCGTCAACCGGCACCACGTGCGTGTTCACCAGCGATCACCGTGAGTACCGCAATAAAACGTTATTATGCATATCCGATGTTGAAGGAATAATCACTTGCGCGCGCGTCATTTGCGGTCGGAGGGCCGACGAAGAAAACAATCATAAACCGTGCTTGCAAAACGTTTCCGAATTAAATATCTGAACGCGAAAACCCGGCCCCGGTAAAATTGTTCGCGATACCGTTGTCGGACCTACCCGTCTTTTCCGATCCGATCCCGTTGGAACACACCTGTTCGGTGTTGGAAGGCGATCGTAAATCCGCAGGACTTCGTGGCAACATCCCGTGTATAAGAGGGTTCAATGTGCGCGTGTCGTTTTTCTATTTTTTTTTATTGTCCCTTTTCCGCGTTCGGTCGGCCGCCGACGACTGTTATCGCACCCTCGTCGGTTTTGCGCGCTTACGCCGGCTCCCCAAGTAGCACCGCCGGCGGAAGTTTCGCGGATGGAAATTCCTCGCGTAAGCGTTTTTTCCTATTATCGCCTACCATCTGTCGCCTTATTCCAAAGTTCTCCTTATCGCTTTGGTTTCCGTTTCAATTAACTAACACCGAGTTCTCGTGTTCAACGGGACATTAAATACTGTGTACCGTGTACACATCAAGTTCGAAGCGTAGTCTTTGAAAGTTCAAAACTTCAATAATGATATTCAGCGGGTTGTACCTGCACGCAACTGAAAATTCTGTATTCTTGTGGTACGAGCTCATGATAGAGTACCCGATATTTCGTCTCATTCGGTGTAAAAATGTGTTCGGACTACCTACGGGATCCTATATACATTTGTTTTACTCGTCGACTGTGCGCATTAGTAACGTAACATAAGGTCGGATTCATCGAAAATACGAAATATCCAAATTTAAAATATTTGAAATGCTGATTTTTTTCAACATCATAGATGGCAAGAATTCACTCAATCTGATAAAAAGCCGCCAAGCGGCTATTTTGAATGTCTTATCAGTGTTTCTTAAAATAATCGGATTAAAAATCAATATTTCAATTAATTAAGCTCATAAACTTTAATGTAATGCTTCCAACTTTGACTTTTTTGTAATATTGCGGACAATGCGCATAGACCTATACACATGAAATAATAACCAGCAGACCAGCAGTTATATAATATTTTATTTAAATTGATAAAATTACATGTTGCAGTTTTGATATTTCGTTGATTTTATTAGTTAATTAATAAAAAAAATTATATTTGTGTCTAGTTCCAAAATCCTGTAAACTTTAAATCAATTAAGTGTTTTATTTTAATTACAAAAAAAATTTTAATTATTATGACTTGGTAATAAATAATGTACCTACTAATACATAAAAGAATCTTAATTCAAAGTTTCAACATTTTAAATACCGGTGTCTAGAGAAAAATTTGGATTTCAGAATTAAAAATCTGGAATCTAGATTTTTGTATTTAATCTCGATTCTTGATTACTTATTATTAAATTATAAACCACATATTTTATATGTTTTAAGTTTAAATAATTCAAAAAATAAGTATAAATATAATTTTATTTTAAATTAGCTAATAAAATTAAAATAATATCAAAATTGCAACATCATGTAGGCTAAACAATTTATAAGACTATTACTAATGTAATATTTATTAATTTAAATAAAATATAAGGGATTTTAATTCCGAAAATTCCTATTTTGCCATCACTAGATTATTGGAATAGTAAAATAAATATACCTTTCTTATTTTTATGGGTTGTCCGTTAACCGTTTCGACAATAATTTTTAGATGGTGCATTAGTGTTGAAGCTCTTTATTCGTATAACTTGTAAAATGTATTTTTTACATTTTTTTCTGCATCGACTGTTTTAAAAATCGTGTTTCTCGAATTAACTCCCATTATTTAAAATAAAACTGCTATTATCATTTTTTATTCTAATCTACGTTATAAATATATTTATTTATGCGTGTGTATTAATCATAAAGATGTTATTTGTGTACTTTTATGTTGATGTTTTATTATTTTAAAAAATTGCGTCTTCATTTGCATATTTAGATTTGAGAGTGGACTCTTTAATTTTGCATAATTCCGGAAAAAGCTTCGACGTTTCGACAGCCAATCAGCTTTTGAATATGTTTATCAATTCATTAGCATTTTTAAAACAAAAAACTGGAATAATAAATTGCGGTCTGATGTATATACTCGTATTATATTTTTTCATTCGTTAAAACGTTATCATTGTTAAATTAACCCAACTCGAACGTAGATTTCCATTTAAATGGGATTCCATAGAAATGTCATACATTTTTACAAATACTATTTGAAAATATATAACATTTTTAATATTTTCTGAACTTTTTCACATTTTTCTTACATCACATATATTAATTTAATTATGTAACGTAATTTTACACGGCAGTCACACTTGTATTTTTCAGGTACCGTTCACGTATTTATTGTATCCGATGTGTTAAGTGTTAATTGTTTATCGCGTTCAACGCACGTACGATTACATACGAGATTACAAAACACATGTTGTTGGCCTTTCTGTTTCATTCGCTTCCATACATAGAACACAATATGATATACTTGTGTCATCAAACATTCGTGTTTGAACCATTTGCGCTACTGTTTCTTTTGGAATTATTACTACCTACAGTAGCTTCGAGATTCGCAAAATTGACAGTGTAACGAAACATAATATTTTTTTGCTTCACCAGAAAATATGCTTACCCCGATCCGCAGCTTTTCGTATTGTGTGTATACGCCCACGATAACGCTATGAAAATCTATTGTACATTTATCGTTTATGAAACAATGCGCGTAAGTCAAATACAATGACATCGGCTAGATTGTACAAAATAATTTCGTGTTTGCTGGAAAAAGATAGAAGTAAATATTTTAAAAGTGTTTAATAAACGACACCGTACAGCTGATGAAGTACTGTTGCATTATGTAGCGAAAAGTTTATGGGTTATTTCGTTGCGCGTCTTGTGTATACCTATGTTATTATTTTTAGATGTCGTACTTACCCGTAATATATATATAATATATATATTATGTTATATTACGCTACTATTAATTGAATCGAGGAGACAAGTGCGTACTTTGAAAAATTAAACGGAGTCAAGTAATTCTTGACGACTAAAATTGTAAATAGTATTCCATACTAGTTCTCGTATGGTATTTAGTTTTCATCTTGTCATAATTTACAATAGTATTAGATCGCAACCTAAATGCGAACCAATTTGCTATCAGAAAAGCAAACATTTATTATCTAGTTATGTCTACACGTTTTGAATAGAGATATTTCATGCTATCATGTTTCTCTTGCAAATTTCGACCGTTTTATCCACGTATACTCTTTACATTGCGATAATTAATTCACGAAAAAGGTCGAAAGCTTTTGTTGTTTTTTTCATAATATCCTGAACTTAGCATACAACGCGGGGCTATTCATTTTTGGCTAAACGGTTTCGAACGAGTTGAATCCATTATGAAAAGTTTACCTTTGAATAAAATAGTAGATATTATTTAATGTCTGTGTTTAAACTGTTAATTGTCGATAATAATAATTATTATTAACAATTATTGTTAACCGATGTAATATAGTGTATTCACGTCGTAATAGACCTAGGACGGGTTAGAATAACGATCGTTGAATTATCAAAGATAATTATTTGTGTGTACGTATTATTATCATGGCTATGGACATCGTGACGATGTTTCTTCTGTATACGAACCGATAGTAATTATTTTGACACGACTTGTTACACGGATTACACAATATTAATGGTTAATTCTTGAAGATTCGCACGTAATCGAAACAGATATTGTGTCAAGCATCAACAATTTTTTTTCTCTTCCCCAAATGTGGATGTTCGCGCACAATGACGACGGGCTCTAAACGTTCCATTTTCGTTTCCATTTTCATTTTCATTTTCCATCACACCAGTAACGATGATACCAATCGTGAAACACGTTTTATTTCGTCCCGGGTGGAAAATTACACGTTGTATTCCGTCGAAGTAAACGATTTATATCGCGGAAAGTCGATTGGGTTGGATTTGAAATAATAATCTGCATGTCTAAACGGACAACGTTCGGACGCGCGCACACACGCTAATCCGTACGTACACCGTACATGTACGCGACAACTTGAACGTGCTTTTCGTCATATAATTGTTATTAATATTTTTCCAACCCGCTCACTCCCTGTTCGCATGATAATACGAAGCAATGCACGTCCCTGTCCCCTTCCTCGTCTACGCACACGAGTACGTACGTTGTTATTACTACCGTATCTATTCCCATGGACCGAAACAGCAGTAGCATGCAGATATCGACCGGGCTGCAGGATGTTTCAATTAAAAAGACAGATAAAAAAAAAAAAAAAATTAAAAATATTAAAGCGAAAATTCGAACGCCCGGATCGTGGCGCTTGTCATCGTAGACCGCTGGACGCGGCACGGCCGAGGAGGAGGGGGGTCGTATGTGATACGATTCGCGTTCGATTCCCCACGACCAAGACCCGCACGTGGAGTTTTGTCACTGCCGCCACTGTCAAAGTTGCATTCGTCGATACGTTTGCCAATGTCGAGTACAACCGATAATTTCATCACATTTAACGCACTACACGTACATCAGCATTAACGTGGTCTGTGCGCAGCACCGTGTCCTGTTGAGAATTCTCAAAGGTGTATTTAAATATTTTTACCGCTATGGTCGGCCTGCGAAAAATCGTCGCACTGTGTTATTAAAATATAACCCAACGTTACGTATTATTATCTATACCTTGTGGCTCGTATTCAATTCCGTCGGTTTTCGATATTATTGTTTTATTAAATTATTCATACTACCTACTTTTCTCAGATAATGAGGGTCCGCGAAACGGCGGTCAACACAAAAATGATTCGTTATTCATGCCGGCCGCCGGGTACTGATAATACTAATTATATTTTCACGTTCCAAGATTAAAATTTGACATCCTGTCGAGACACGTACGTAATACATTTGTAATGGCAATATTATAAGTGCTCACGAGTC